TGCTTTGACTAACCTAAGCTTATGGTTAGGTTTTCTCCGGTACACGTGTCTGTCCAATGGATTGTATTTTCAAACTTATCATCAAGAAAGAGTTCTTCTGACGTCTACGTTCAAATAACTGAACTCATTTTCAATCTCATCATCCACCTAGCAGCCTTGAACAGCTGTTTCGTCCCAGTGTAGGACTTCTCAGCAGTACGCACTTACTATCTGCTTCTCTGGGAAAAAGTGAAGGTCGTGAGTTGAATTCCTGACAGGGTCGTCGGTGCGTGCAGCTGAGGAGTCACATATGGGGTCGAAACAACTGTCCAGTGCTCCCAGGATTCCAAAGAGAACTAAATTTATTTTAAAACATAAGCCTCAATTAACAATACATTATACTATATCGCAATAATGGATAGTGATTGATAGTGGAATTTAAACCACGTGTTTCGTCCCACTTAGGACCCATCAGTTATATATACCTACCTCCTAGTGATCGATGTTGCTTCTAAAAAAACATGAGATATGCATTTTGGATTCTTCTGCAATAATAAAGCATCTGTAGAGGAACACAATTATCAATAATGGCACAATCAGTAGTGGAAAATTACGAGCTATAACATCGACACTGTATAGCATTGCGTTCCAATTATGCTTGTCTAAGAGTTTACGTGAATATGCATGCATAAAACCTTATTGTATGCATTTTGCTTAGGTATTGTAATTAGGTAGGTTAGAGCAGTCAGTCAAACTACAGGCACAATCATACACACACACACCAGAAATATGTAAGTAACTGACATTGTTCTATGTCTTTTAATGAAACTTTTCTCATAAAACAAACTCATAATAAATTGTAAATATCAGGCGATCTATTAACCAGGAATATGGACATGTTATTGATTACACAGTGTTTTAATTTGCGAGAAAAAAGGTGGTATAAACAAAAATAAACTGATTGGAAGCATCCTCGGCTTCTTTTTATATTCATTTACTTCTTCAAGTTTGTATTCATCACATGGATAAGCTGGACCGGGGAAAAGATCCTAAAACATTCGGATTTCACAAACGATGACTTGTGTCTAATGTCACACAAACTCAAAAATATACAGCCAATAACTAACAAGTTGACAGAAGACACAGCGAAGACAGGACTTCCTTCAAGTAAATGTAGAGAAGACAGACGTGATGATGATACCCAACCAACACCACCAACAACAACAGCAACAACAAGCTCCAATCACCATCAATGGCAGAAACTTTAACGAAGTAGCCTCCTTCCACCTATCTAGGCGAGACAGCATCGTTTCAACTACAGGCGGCACACATCAGGACGTCAAAGCAGCCAGGATCGGAAAGACAACAAGACACGCCTTCAATAACCTCAAACCAGTGTGGAGATATTCTCCACTCAGCATAAATCCTCAACAACATCAGGATTTTCAACACCAATTCAGTCAAGTCAGTGCTTCCACCTCATGGTTCACACACTTGGCGGCGCGTTACCAAAATCATTTCCAACAAACCACAGACATTCATCAACAACTGCCACCTACGCTGACTCGCTACTCAAGATCACATGGCCAGAAACAATAAGCAATAAGCAACTCTGGATAGCTAACTGGCAACGAACCAACCAAGAACCTATCACTCAACAAATATCAAGAAGGAAGTCATGATGGATTGGGCATACAATGAGAAGACCATTCGGAGACATCACGCACCAGGCCCTCCAGTGGAACGCAGATATGAAAAGACGAGTTTGGCGTCCGAGGCAAGAGTGACATGGAGGAGATGGTGTGAGGAATAAATGAGAGCTTGTGGGTAGTCGTGGAGCCAGGTTTAAAAGAGTGCAGAGAACAGAGTGAAACAGGGAAGTGCTACTGAAGCCGTATGTTCCACTAGGAACCCAACGGTCAAATAATAATAATAATGAATGATAAAATGAATAGAAGATATGAAACTTAATCATTATTCAGTTTGGAAGTCTATGAAAATTTTATTGGTTTTAAGTTGGTGTTCATCATGAACTGACATCAGTGGAGAACCATTAGAAATCTTGTAGCACTGGACATCTCTTTTGTCCTAGTATGAGACTCCTCAGCAGTACACATTCACGTCTTAATAAACTTATTCTGCAAATTCTCACTTTTAGACGACTGAGGAATTCAATTCTACACCGTCTACTAGATATGAAGGACGATATGGAATTCAAAGATGCCTTGAAAATAATTCATAGACAATACAGCTACACCCTACTGCAATTGGTGTTGGATGGCTGTAAGAAATTGGCAGAAAGTTATGAACCTAAGTTTTGTGCTTGCTGGCATTCATCAGGAAGATGCACATGCAGATTTGGGGGAACCAAAGTCCCCTCTGGGGTTTGAACTCGAAAAACTCAATAGTAATGTATCTGACTGAGGCATTGGGTGACACTGATTCGAAGGTAAGACTTCCCGCCAACTCCCTCCGACTGCACGGTGTTACAATATTGCTTTTCAAATAACATAACTGTCCATAACTGGCCTGTATGCGGCCAGCGTTTCGTCCTATTTGTGACTCTTCAACTGAATTTACCTGCATCTTAATGGATGATGGTACCGACAAATAATAATATCCAATACCTGTTGCATAGAAGGTGGCTTAGTCACCTACGGGGTAACGCTCTGACATCTGAAGCGATAAGTACAAGGTTCAAGCCTCAGTACAGGTACATCCGGTTGACGAGTCCCAAATAGGACAAAACGTGCATTCTAAATCAATTGCAACAAGAAATATTGAGACAATATCAAAATATTTGTATAAGAGTCGATATGAGATAGATGAGATAGATAGTTTTAAGATGTACACAACGGATGAGAATGAAATAAAGTATAAGGATTTTATCGTAGTCTGCAAAACCTATTTGTTTTCGTGAAGGGGACCAAAAATATGACCAGATATATAAACCGTTGTTAGGATCAGCAAGAAGATTGCAGTTCCTCAAGTACTTAAAATATAATACACATTCTGAACACTGCTTCAATAATACATCATAAAAAGTTTTTGAACCGGGTTGCGTTCATTAATAATTTTCAGCCTAAATTTTAGGCTACTTGTGAGTAGTTAAAAAATAATATTGAAAATAGGAGGAGGGTAACGAATCAAAATTGCGAAATTGCTACATACCCCTAATTTTGAGTACCTTTTGACTACTGTTTTGCCCATGACTTTAAGATTAACCACATGGCTGTTTTCACACTCTTAATATTTTTTTTCTCTACTTACAACGCTGAACTCCCATTGATTGCTAACTGTTTTAACCTATGTGGATTTAGTGTTGTCAAAGTCGTTTAGAAATGTATATATTCAGCATTACATTTATTCTAAATATATTACTTCTTCGAATATATTCCTAAAACCAGTTCTTTCGATTTGTGTTTCGTTATCAGTACTTACACGTTAGGTAAAGTACTGGTTAAGCAGGTGATAGAGCACATCAAGTTAAGTAGGGCTGGTCAAACGTTACGGAATAGTAACACACACCCCTACAGACGTTCTGATTCGCGTTAGGATCGATTCATTTGCGCTTCAGGTTCATACCACTCGTAGACTGTTAGTTCATACTACTGGTCACAGCAGAAATGATGTGAGACTTGAATAACAATAACATGCAGACACTGGAGACAAACTTCTCTCAAAACCATTGAAGTGAAACTGTTATCGATAAGAATGAATAATCCAAGAAGGTATCATACATGCGTAGGCACAGACAAGACCATATTTTTGAATCCTTGTAGTAACTGCCATGTGTGAATGATAGACAGGTTAAATAAAACGAATAGAGTCATCATGAATACAACTATCTAAACTTATGAGTCTCTGGAGTGTGACTAACTTCATGTTGTCTAGTCCTGAATGCAGACCGAATCCTATCGATTATATTTGCAATGTGGCATAAAGTCGCTGACTACAACACTGGGTGACGCGGGTTCGAATCTCAGATGGGACATCAGTTCCGTCAAGGTTGCAAATATGCCTTGCTGACAAGTGCCAAAAAGCACGAAATCTAGGTCCAGGGCTCCCTGCCGATTGCCTCCAACCAACTAACATCTACTAATGTGTACCGCGATGATGAGCTTCCTAGCTTGGTTGCCACATTACAAATATGATCGATAGAATTCGGTCTGCACTCAGGACTAGAACAACATGAAATTGGTTGTACTCCCGTGACCAATCAATACATGCTAGAAATGATTTTGGAAACCTTTAAATCAATAATTCTCACAATTATTTGCCTATAATCTGTAAGTTAAAGAAGGAAAGTGAATCATATTATCATTGGGGCGTGTTAATCGATCACACTCTTAACGATAGTACAAAGACAATGGATGCCATTAAGAAAGGAGTCTAGAACAGGATGACAAACGGATTTAAACCTTAAATCTCATTGGCCAACTAATAATCACAAGAATTCTCATATAGTTAGCATCCCACAGTGTTGTATGCTATTCATAAGAATATAATAGCTGAAATTCAATTGGTTAAAGTGCTGGAGAAAAGAATAAAACATACAGTGAAGGGAATTACAGAAGATATGCGAAGGAGCAATGTAAACCGAAGGGTAGTGCAGATGCAACTGGTATATACTGCATTCAGTGAACATTAGTGATGTTGTTATCAGTTGTCACTCTGTTTGTTGTTCCTTCATATTACTACGACTACTAGCCACTCTTACTTTCAAATAGCTCCCTCCTTCACAACACTACACACACACACACACACACACACACACACACACATACACACACACGGAAACGACCAATGCACAACAAAAATCTCATCATCACATCATAACTCTTTATTACGTTAAAGCCTTGTACAAATAAAGTTGAAATTACAACAAACAAACCCATCCACTTCACTCCACACCAACAAAAGTTTAAAAAAAATTTTAACCAGAAGTAAAAGAATACTGTGTTTAAAGAGAGAAAAAAAAATTACAAAGGCGTTGATAACATGGCATAAGATTTCCATGATTAAGCAGTAGACGGTGATGATGCAACACGTTGATTCCAGTACATGAATAGCTTGGATGTATCACGTATCTGTCAGTTTGAAGAAAGAAGCCAGAAGAGAGAGAGAGAAACAAACAAATTTACATTACACATAAAACAAAAATGATTAGAACAACAACAATCCGTGCCACTGAAGGATTCGAATGAGAGACCACTGGGTTCCTAGTCCGGTGCTCTCTCTCTCTCTCACTCGCGTGCGCGCGCTCCCTCTACCAACTACTAAGCTACAACATCCAACCAACCGATGACCAGATTCTTATTTCATTTCAATCACTAAGAGTTTTACTCAACTACAAATTTGACTTTATTTTCACTTCATCTACCAGTAAACCACAACTGTTGCCTCCGTTAAACTGACAAACAAATTGATTGCCAGATATGTAAACCACAAGGATTGTAGTTTGTACACAGTTTTAACTTACAGATATGTAGCTATATAGCTCAGTTAGTAGAGTATTGAGCCAGAAATCCGATGGTTACTAGTTCGAATCTAGCGGCGGTTCGGATTTTTTATTTCACTTTCAATCATCACCCAATAACAATACTATAGTCTGCTAAACTAAGGCTATCTTACTCAGATAGTCAAAATGATAAACACAAGGGTATGGATAAGAAAAGGAATTTAACAATCAAGGTTAGTGAAAATATTCAAGCTGAGGCCTTGGCATCAAGAGTCGCCAACTATTGATTCCCATGGTTTCGAGGACCGCAACCAAGCAGTCGACACATCTCCACATGGCTCATATTAAGAACTTCCAGTGGCTGATGCCACATCTTGGTCTGGGTAACGATAAAAATTAAGATAGGCGGTCGTTCGGCATTATTATTATATTATTTGTCCTTTCGATTCCTAGTGGAACATAAGGCTTCAGTAGCACATCCACATTTCACTCTCTTTTCTTCAGTCTTCTAAAACTGGCTCCACCACTATCCATAAGCTTTTATTTCTTCCCCATATGATTTCCTCCATGTCACCCTCGTACGCCCAATCTGTCGTTTCCATTTCGCTTTCAATTGATGGCCTGGCCTGGCGGGTGATATCCCCAAATGGTCTTTTCAGTGTATGCCCAATCCATCTCCACTTTCGTCGTTCAGCATGCACAACACATATCAAATTCAGTGAAGGCTCATAGTTCTATCGACTGACTTGCGTTCCTTGCCTAGTACCTTCTGCTTAGCATTGACACCACTCGTAGGGTGATTTTATTATAAGCGAGTAGTGCTATGAGGACACTTGAAGTCGATAGGTTATGGCAAATATGATAGTAAATATGAGATTGGGAAACATGTCAACTAACACTGACAAACAAAAGTCAAGCTACCGACATTGACCACGTAAAAAACACCCACACAATACATTTGAAGTGTCAGGGAACTGTACAAGATATCGTGAAAGTGAGACTCAGTTTATTCAGTTGAATATAGGCCATCATACACGGTTCCAATTGAAAGAAACGAAAAAAGTAGTCAATAGTAACATACTACTATTCATATAAATTAAGAACCCCTTTTTGAAACGTATTCAAACCATCCTTGTCAAATAGTCTTCTTTATTCCTTCTGGAGAAAAGTATTATTAACAGAGAGTAATAACGGACCAGATTCACATAGACGTAGACATTATCCACTACACCAGTGAGTCACGATAGCCACTTCGTGTCTTACAGGCATAGTTTCTATGTTGTTTGCTTCGATTATCTCGTCGTTGATTGGATCGAATTCATTGATCTCCTGGGTGGATGCTTTGATATTACCTGTCGTTTCAATTTTATAGTCTAATCAACGATGGGATAATACAAGGAATAACATGTTTTAGTCAGTTTATTGATAGACTCCTAGAGTGATTCGGCTACTCTCTAACCACCACCTATGCTATATACCCCTAATTTCGCATAGCTTTTAACTGCTGTTTGGACCATGACCTTAAAATGACTTACATGGCTGTTCTTACTCCGTTACTCGTTTTTCTTCCCTCTGGTTTCAACGATGAATTCTCATTGGTTGTTAATTGTATGTGGATTTAGTGTTGTCAAGGTCATTTAGGAGTGTATTTATTCAGCATCGCTATCAACTGTATTTGATGGTTGTTGAGACAGTAAAAATCTCTTGGTCAACGGTCTGCCTTGCCTTTGCGTGTCAATGGTATTGTTGTCGTGGTGGTTGATGTTCTGATTTGTGTTAGAGTCGATTCGCTGCACGTTAGGTTCAAATCGTTCGTAGACTGTTAGGTCGTACTACTGGTCACATCAAGCTACAGTTTAGTCTCAATGTTGTTAATTTAATACAAACTAGACTAAAGTGACAGATATGATATGATATACATGTAACTCGCTGGTAGCGCTAACTATCAACACTCTATCAGTTAGCCTTGACACAAAGGACTGGTTCAATTTGGGGGTTCATGCGGATTTATTAATTCTAAGTTGGCATTCATCATGGACTGATATCAAATGGAGGAACACTGGAAACCTTGGAGCACTGAACAGCTGTTTTGTTCTTGTATGGGACTCCTCAGCAGTGAGCATCCACGACCACTACTTGAGTGTTAAAATCATCCGCCGTTATGACTACATCTAAACGTTTTGCCTTCCGTAGCTTCTCATAGAATTCATCGTTTGCATCACCTGAACTACAGTGGGTGAGACACAGCATACATCCATAGTTAGAGACTCTAGAGTTTTAGCGAGCCATACTTGCTGTCTGATTTTGCTTAGAGCTAGGACGTTGAAAGCTCCTAAATGAAGTCGATGGCGGAGTCTTAGGAGATTAAGAATGAGATTTCGACGACTTTGATCGTTGGCAATGGTTGCAGAGTGACAGGTTGGGGAATGTAGTGGAGGCTTATTGTTAGTTTCAGGACGTGAAGGCAAATGTGGAGACAGAAGTGAGTAGGACAGATTATGTTTGATTTGGTCTTGTATACTATTGGGAGCATGTGGGCGGTTGGTACTTCCCGACTGTCAACACTGTCGAAGGTTACTTCTTTATAAAGTATTTAAAAGAGAAAAAAATTTGTGTGATCTCAGAGCCCGTGGGACATCTGTTCGAGGGCTATGATAAGCAGTCTTTTGCGGATTGTCGTTTTGAGATCTCGTTGTTCTAACGCCAGCTAGTGAAGACCCATGTCGTCGGCACCGGAGGATTGTAGGGCAGGGAACAGTGTGTTATTTTTCGGGTGAACCCTTTCTAACCCCCCCTCCTTCGGGCATCAGCTTGGCACTGCTAGTCACCCAAGGGAAACACCTTAAAGCTGTCACACTCCTCAGACCCCCATCATAGTGTAGTAATTTACACTACAAAGGCAACCACTTTTCGTCTTACCACTATCCAACAGACGTTCCTGGTATTGTAGGACCACGAGGGAACAAGCGCTGCATCAAGATAGCTCGTTGGGTCACTATGATACGCAAGCCAGACCACCAAGTCAAGATGGCAGCTATCGGTTGGGCCCAACAGCTATACAATACGAAATACAAATCAGAGACTATAAACACATCTATACATTCGCGTTTGATTCAGACTTATTGTGTAAAGGTTAGTTATTTTACCATGCTCAATCAATCTTTTTTCCAAACTGTACTGGGTAGGGCTGGATAGGAGGAAGTCATAAGTCGATTTTCTAAAGCTAGTGAGCCTAAGGCAGCTGTTGTAGCCCATTGATTCAAACACCGCTTCCACTATCAAGACTTACGTAGCCAGGAAGTATCTTTAACTAACATTCATTAGGTGTGGTTCATTGTTTACTGCACAAATGTGCATGTGGTTGCAGATTGTATATCGATCCGATTAAGCCACAGTAGTTGCAACGCTACGCATCATCATGGAACAAGGTATAGAATGGTAGTAAACTCAACTGTACCCCAACTTCATCCACTTTGAAAAGATCTTCGACCGAATCGTCGGACGATAAGTAATTTGGCAACTGCTTCAACACTACGCAGTACCACAAACCTTTATCTACCTCATTCAATAACTATATGAAGACACCACATGACAAGTAATTCACAATGGGAAGCTCAGTGACGCCTTCGTAGTGAAGTGAAGACAGGAGTAAAAGAACGCTATCTACTATCAACCTTGATCCTCCTGCTTGTGGTCCACTGGATCATGCAACAAACTGTGAGAAGCGAGAAGAGGGGGATACGGTGGAACGCGGAAAAGATCCTAGAAGATTCGGATTTCACAAACGATGACTTGTGTCTAATGTCACACAAACTCAAAAATATACAGCCAATAACTAACAAGTTGACAGAAGACACAGCGAAGACAGAACTTTCTTCAAGTAAATGTAGAGAAGACAGACGTGATGATGATACCCAACCAACACCACCAACAACAACAGCAACAACAAGCTCCAATCACCATCAATGGCAGAAACTTTAACGAAGTAGCCTCCTTCCACCTATCTAGCCAGACAGCATCGTTTCAACTACAGGCGGCACACATCAGGACGTCAAAGCAGCCAGGACCAGAAAGACAGCAAGGCACGCCTTCAATAACCTCAAACCAGTGTAGAGATATTCTCCACTCAGCATAAATCCTCAACAACATCAGGATTTTCAACACCAATTCAGTCAAGTCAGTGCTTCTACCTCATGGTTCACACACTTGGCGGCACGTTACCAAAATCATTTCCAACAAACCACAGACATTCATCAACAACTGCCACCTACACTGCCTCGTTACTCAAGATCACATGGCCAGAAACAATAAACAACAAGGAACTCTGGATAGCTAACTGGCAACGAACCAACCAAGAACCTATCACTCAACAAATATTCAGAAGGAAGTCATGATGGATTGGGCATACACTGAGAAGACCATCATGCATCAGGCCCTCCAGGGGAACACAGATATGAAAAGAGGAGTTGGGCGTCCGAGGTGAGAGTGACATGGAGGAGATGGTGTGAGGAATAAATGAGAGCTTGTGGGCAGTCGTGGAGCCAGGTTTTAAAGAGTGCAGAGAACAGAGTGAAATGGGGACGTGCTACTGAAGCCCTATGTTCCACTAGGAACCCAAGGGACAAATAAACAATAATAATAATAAGCCACAGTAGTAATTCGATAAAGTCCAATCCATAGTGTTTTGCACACATATTACAGAAATGGTAGAGAATATCTATAGCTTAAAATTTCGATATTCAAACTGAATTGTTCTCTGAGCTGAAAGGTTTTGCTTCTTGAAACTTTCAACGTTATGATAGACACCATTATCAGTGCTTCACAAGGTAGAACTAACTTCACATCAACCGATAATATACAATAGTAATAATCATCAAAATAATAATGATGATAATAATAATAATAATAAGTAATAAGACATACCAAATTATGATATGTATTCAATAAGGCTTGAGTTTCAGCTATCAATTTCTCTGATATAACATACTGATCATTATGGACTATTCGTAATTCTTCAAACTTCTTTTTCAAAGTGCTTATTTCTACAACAACAAGAAAAGAAGTAAACATAAACGTTGGTAAAAAAAACAAAAACAGCCGGTAAAATTCACTTACCACTAAGTGCTGGATGATTAAGACAATCTCCTAACTTGGCAATTTTTTCCAAATCGTTGCCCATTTTCTCTATTTTATCCTTTTCTAAATGAAATTTTTAAAAGAATGTTGAAATAAAGTGAGAGGTTATAATTAGCAGGAAAACAATTTTAAAAAATATATGATTCAATGGAGTAGTGTTGACATAATAATGAAAATAAGGGATGGGCTCTGAGTTTCGGCTGATGAGTCTCGAATAGGACGAAAAGGACATCATGGATTCCACTGATAGCCACCAATAAGCTAACTATACAACATAGTGGATGATTAAGCAACACTGAAGCATTCACATAGCAGTTGATATGCCAATAGAGATAGATTAATTCGGTGGAGTATAGCAAAGGGGAAAGGTTTAAAATACACGCGAAATACGCCTGTTATTGGATAGTGTAATGTTGGTTGGAAGATTGTATTGTTTGTTCTCAAGAGTGATCATCGTTATCCTTGCAGAGCAAATTGTATACTATGAGACTACCAGGTGAGTAATGCAGAAGTACGGGAGCCCAGCCCAGCCTCCTCTGTCTCGTAGTGTTAACTTAAGTAGGTTTAGTAATGAAGGACAGTGGTTAGCAGTTGGGAACAGGATGCATATTTCGTCCTATTTGGGACTCGTTAGCTGGATGTACCTGCCTCCCAGTGAGTGGTGTTGTTCTCACCGGGACTCGGTCTGGAGAGCGATCGCTTCAAACGCGAGAGCGTTATCCAATACATCACCGACCACGATAGCCACCTCTGCTAGGCACTGCCCATCACTACTATACATACTTAGAAGACAGGCGCTATCGAGGTATCCGTACAGGAGCTCATATGCCAACAGAGACTGATCAATTCGGTCCAATCAACGACGGTGTAATACAAGCAATAACACTGAAGTAAGTTTAGGCTAGAAAAACGTTAGATTTGGCCAAAGTAAAGCATAACATCTGAAGTCTTTAGCAGTTAACTTGAGCGATGTAGAAGAATGTGGACTTTGCAGTCGGTGTCAATCTGACAAGTGAAACCGGTGACATATGGCTTAGAATTCATATCAGTAATCCAGATGTAACCACACATTAACTTAAACCTAATCATTATTGTTATATCCCTTCCCTTCTTATAACTTTGGATTACTTTTCATGATTTTCTTTCTTGTCTCTCTAAATTTCATCTAAGTGTCTTCCAATTTGATGTGAAGTGGTGGTAACTTAAACAGTTACGAAGTAATGCCAAGTTGTATGTTGATATTGATTTTCTGACTGATTAACTTTCCTTTAGCTAGTCATATTTGGATAGTTAAGTTACCATTCATCAAAATCACTAGTTAATCGACTTTTTCACTATTCAATTACTTAAGGTTCAGAGGATAGTGATTGATAATACTAATGTAATCCAGTTGATATTCGTGTTTGTTAAGTGAATATCATTCGAAGATGCAGGATAATATCGTTTTATCTTGTGGTGCGTTATATAAAATGAACACCCACTCCAACCAGCGAGGCTGCTCAGATTGCGAAAGAGATGAGAAGGTATGGCATTGAAGTGCTAGAAATCTGCAGGAGCCGATCGAATAGAAGTGGACTCTCCAAACTGTCAACTCGAGAGTCAATAATCTACTCCGATATTGTCACTCAGACAACAGCCACGAGCACACTGAGTTTTCGACTGGCTATCATGATGGCCATGCACTGAAAAGGCCGACTGAGGACATCACGCGTCAGGCCAGCACTCGAGTGGAATCCCCATGGGAAGCGGCGAGTTGGACGTCCGAGGGTGACATGGAGGAGGTCGTGCGAGGAAATGAGAGCTTCTGGGCTGTCGTGGAACCAGGTTTAAAAGATCTCAGAGAACAGAGGTCACTGGAGACGTCCTACTGAAGCCCTATGTTCCACTAGGAACCCAAGGGACTAATAATAATAATAATCATGATGTCTCCAACAGCATCGAAGGCTCTCTCTCACACAGTGGGAACCAATCTCCTCCTGCAAGATCAGGATCATGACAGAAAGATGGAATCAGCTCAAAACGAAGGAAAGTCACAATCAGACAATGCTACACCCCAACAAATAATCCAGATCAAAAGAAGAATGAGAAATTCTACAGACAACTGAAATCAGTAATGGACGAAACCCCACCCTAGTTGGCGACATCAAAGTTCAGTCTAATGGCTGATATGAATCCCCAAACTCGGAGTGAACAACACATGTAGGGAACTCATCATGGGTCAAGAAGCACTCGGTGAAATGAACGAGAATGGAAAACTCCCTCCAGAATTCTGCGCACTCAAAGATTTGGTGATTCGAGGCACTGTGTACAAACATGAGGATATTCACAAAGCGACATGGATTTGATTTTACCAGACACTAGGACACACCACACTAAAAATCACATCGACTTCATGTCAATCTCAAGAAAGTGGAGACGAAGCCACTGGACACAAGAAGGGGATCAGATGTAGGTTCACACCACTCACACCACTATCTAGTTCAAGGAACCTTCCAAATCAAGTTGAAAGCCTTCAAGGAAGTTGGTGATAGACTGCAGTTTAAGTTCAACACCCAAAACACAAACTGAATGATGAAACTTCAGAGAGCATCTTCATGTCAGCCATCAGGACAAAATGGGAGACACTGAGCAACATCCCTGAGGAAACCTCCATGGACGAACACTGCAACTCCGAAAGCTGTGTGGAAAGAAGCCTGCATAACCGTATTAGGAAGGGGAAGAAAGAAAATAAGTAATGGATCTAGACGGACACATGGAAGCTGATAGAGGAGAGGAAGATAATGAAGCAGAAAATAAACCAGAGCAAGGATGAACAACGAAAACAGAAACTGAACACCACCCATAAAATGCTGTAGAAAGAAGTGAAGACCAGTGCACGGAAAGACAATGATACTTCTACGACACACTTGCAAGCGAAGCAGAACAGGTTGCAGGTAAGAGAGACAGAGACCTGACAACATTATATCAAATAACAAAAATACTATCTGGGGGGGGGCAGAGATCAACACATATGAAACCAATGAGAGATAGTGAAGGAAACTTAGTTACCAAAGAGAAGAAACCAAAAAAACCATGGACTGACCAATTCAAAAAACTCTTGAATCGACCATCACCACCACCTGCAACTCGTCCAGAAATACCAACAGCAGCACAGCCACAGAACTATCAGTGAATGCAAACATTCTGACGAAAGCAGAAGTGAAGTCCTGAACGCCATAAAGTTACTGAAATCTGGGTAAGCAGCAGGACCAGATAGAATTCCTCCAGAAGCACTGAAACCAGACGCAGAAACAACAGAGGACATGCTCACACCACCATTGCAGAAGGTTTGGAAGGAAGGAAAGGTGTCCGCCGATTGGAAGAAGAGATACCTTGTCGAACTTTCAAACAAGGGAGACCTACGTCTCTGCAAGTGCTGGCGCGGCATCAGGCTCCTGTCCACCCCAAGCAAAATATTATGCCGCATGATCCTGGAGAGACTAAACTGTAATGCTCTGGATACAAAACTACAACCGTACGTCTCAACAACAGGCGGCACAGATGAGGATGTCAAAGCCAGGATCGGAAAGACAGTAAAACAGGCTTTCATTAATCTGAAATCAGTGTGAAGATTTACTACACTCAGCACAAAGCGTGATTAAAGTCCGGATTTTCAACACCAACGTCAAACCAGTGCCTCTCTATGGTTCAGAGACTTGGCGCGTCATGAAAGGCACTTCCAACAAGCTACAGACATACATCAACAGCTGCCGTCTACGCTCACTCGATCTTAGAGATCAGATGGCCAGAAACAATAAGCAACAAGGAACTCCGGCTGGCTGGCAACGAACCAACCGACAACCTATCTCCCAACAAATATACAGAAGAAAGTGGAGATGGGTTGAGCATACACTGAGATCATTTGGGGACATCACGGGCCAGGCCAGGCCATCGAGTGGAAGCCAAATAGGAAACGAAAAGTTGGGCGGCCTAAGGTGACATGGAGGAGATCATGTGAGGAAGAAATGAAAGCTTCTGGGAAGTCATGGAGCTAGGTTAAGCAGACTGCAGAGAAGACAGTGCAATGGATACGCGCTAATGAAGCCCCATGTTCCATTAGGAACCCAAGGGACAAATAACAATGATGATAAACCATCATTAATATTATTATTAGTCCGCTGGGTTCCAAGTAGGGCTTCTGTAGCACGTCACCATTTCACTCTCTTCCCTGCAGTCTTTACAACCAGGATACACCACTGCCCACAACCTTTCATTTCTTCCTCACACCGTCTCTTCCATGTCGCCTTCGGCTCACACGCCCACTCGTCGTTTCCCATTTGGCTTTCACTCGACGGCCTGACCTGGCGCATGATGTCCCTAATCAGTCTTCTCAGTGTATGCCCAACCCATCTCCACTTTCTTCTGCATATTTGTGGAGTGATGGACCATCGGTGATAGTAGGCAGTAACCTTATCTTACTCCTGTCTTCACTTCAAAGGCATCACTGAACTTTGAATTGTGAATCAGTTGGCATGTAGCATCATATAACTGCTGTTGAGTGAGGTTGATAAAGATTTGTGGCATTGAAACCGTAGTGTCGAAACACCTGCCTAATTCCTTCTCATCGGCGCTATCGAAGGCCTTTCCAAAGTCGATGAAGTTGAGGTAAAGATCCAGTTGACTGCCGTTCTATGCTCTATTCTACGATAATGTGTAGCGCAGCGTTGCAATTTGATCCGCACATGACATTTCATACTAAATATATTTCGATGTTATGTAACTTTTACCAACTACCCAGAAGAATGCAAAGTTGAGACTATCTGATTACGAAAAACACAACAAACCTTCATCGCTATCAAACAAAAGTCTCAAGTTAGTCTGTTAGAAGGCTCGGTTTGTTATAATTGAGGAAAGAAGAGATAATTCAGGGAAGAAAATTTTCTGTACTCGACGATATCCTTTTCCACAGCTGCATAATGGCAGTTATATATGTAACAAAAGTGTATGACAGTCTAAGAAACTGAAATCAAGAAAACTGGAAAGGAGTTACATAATAATCATTTTGACAATGAAAGTAACAAGAAAGGCGAGGAGTTTGACAAACTGAAAATTGTTGATAGATGAGAAATGTGATGGTTATGAGTGCCCAGTTGACAGCAGATAGGTAGACGGAAAGAAGGTGAAGAATGAGACAAGGGTCATAATGAAGGTGATAATAATAATAATAATGAACTAACTAATTATAATGAAGGACAAAAAATTGTGAGTGTTGAGATCATGGAAAGATGCGACATTGAATATACCTCCTCCTTCTTCATGCACAGATTAAACGTGAACTGGCAAACTGCCAATCCTTCTGTTGTGTGCAACTATCGAAAGTGTACTCCTTTACAACTGTTCTCTTTGACTCTGTAGATGACGTTGAAGCAGGACTCAGGTCGACTTATATGTGTCCAGAGTTGACCAAATGTTCAAGAATTCAACTGTTAATTGATTTACATTCTCATCTCAACAACCATGCAGAATAGTGCTGAGAGATAGGTTTCGAAAATTCGTACTTTGTGCAGCCTGTATAACTAGCTTCACAGAAGCAAGTAAATTTGTAGACATACTTTTCAGCTTAATGATGCAACTATACTCTACTGGTCAATAATAAACTGTTACATAGTCATGAAATTTACATATAAATATGATTGTACAGCTTTATAAAATGATTTTGTTGAAGAATTATTCAACAAAGCACCTCACATCCAAACAATGGATTTTAAGTTAAAACCTTACTTAATCTCAAGTGTTTTGGGCATCCCAGTAGAATCATAACCTTCACAGAGTAGATATGAATCGCTGGTTGTTAGTACATGACCCTAAAAGTGGAGAAAACTTACGGCTTGTTGGTTTTGACACTCAACTGTCAATCAATGGACCACGAGTTCGAACCCCGTCTCACCTAACTTATTTTGAACATCCACATAGTGTCATCAGTCATCACATAGTTATTCAGCCAATATCTACTACACCTTACAATATGAAAATATAGGGAAATAGAGAACGTAATTACGAGTCACCGAAAATCATATGAAACGAGGAGAGCAAGAATAGGAACCAATTAACAAAATCATATAGAACAATCAGTAAGAAGACAAAATGTGGATAAATTTGCATCATGTAAATCTATTCTAAGTCATATTGCCTAGAATCTCAAACTATTAATTTCGATGATCACACAGACCCCAACCGAGAAGTCTACATTCCCCAATACAACTAGAATCAACAGTCAAAGACTTCATGAACAAAGTGGCATGTCTAGTTGTCTTTTACCTTTCTTGTAAAATGTATGAGATGCATTTCAATGAAGATAGATGATGTACACTAAATGAATAAAAGCAACAATTGAATGAAAAATCCAATATTTTACTTACGAGCTAAAATAATTTCTATTTTCGACTTTGTTAAAAGGATATCATCTTCCATGAAATTTGGATCAGTATACTTTTGAATTTCATTGACTAGATAAACAGAATACAAAAATAGTTATACACTCAAAACCAGATTAAAATATTCTTTTTACTTCTCGACAGTAATTTACTACTGATTGGACGTTTTTCAGCAATTGATATGGCTGAGTATAATTCATGCAGTTGATCTACTAAATTCTATGTGACAAATGAGATTTAAATTATTTAAAAAAATAAGTAAAACCTTTTCATGTTCACTTGACAAATGTTTTACAGTTTTATTTGGTCCAAATACCAAGTTTTCTAATTCGCATACTCTATTTTCCAGAGTTTCAATATCCATTCTAGTTTAGCTGTAAGCAAAAAATGAAGACATATTTTACTAACTACTTATTTAATAAATAGTAAGTAATGTTAGTTTAGAAAAAATTTATGGAGTGAAGAAAAGGTTTCCTTTCCAACTCCGTCTTCGGCTCCATACGAACGTATACGTTTGCAATTAAAATACCAACCAGATGGTAGGAGATTAGGTGAACAGTACAGATTTTAACTAAGTCATCAAGATGAAACGTTTGCAAAATTAGGATGCAAATAATCCACAGAGTAGTTATACGTGCTTAAAACTGGTGACTATAATGTGAAACAGGTTAACTCCTAAGCAAATTTCATTGTAGCTACTAAAGTAAATAGGGTGTTTTTCTTCTCCGGTATTCGGTCACAAACAATAAATAATTACATAAGAGTAAGAAAGCAAATGAATATTGTTAGAATAAGGAGAAGAAGCGTGCAAAGTGACATCATGTTGATGGTCACATTAATGAGAGTGGTTTGACAAATTCCTGTTGAATACAAAGATGGATTGTGATCGCCTTTGGTATGTGAAACAAGCGATTGCGTGATCCATGTGGTAAACTAAATGGTATACGATGAATAATTATTTCAAATGCTTTAATAGTAGTCACTTGATATCCAGTGTCAAATAAGTGTGGTAGTGAGTAGGTGTTTATTTGTTCGGATCTGTCCCTTATTCTACCATGGTGAGTGGTGCTCAGAAATTTGACGATATGCACTGCCACTAGCTCTCCAGGAGCAGTTTTAACTAAAAAATGCATAAGGAGGCGGCAGAATACGGCAGTCTACCTTTATCGCTAACCCGTTGAATCGAAAGGATGTAGAATAAGGGATTACCGTTTGCAGGGCTGTTTTAATGCATTTTTTTGGTGACCCACTAACTATGTCACTCATGATTTCCAGCTTCAAGAAGATTTATTTCTTAGGAATTGTTGGCATTCTTGTCTTAACCTTCGTATTACTCATATGCTTTTGTTACAAACTTTTCTGGATAGCCGTTCCTGCTAAACATATCACGAATGGTGGCGAACTCTTCCTCTATAACATCATAAGATGAAATAGCCAACCCCATGTGGGTTTACCAGTTCAACGACTCCTGGAGAGCTAATGACAGAGCATATCGTCAAATTTCTGAGCACCACTCACCATGGTAGAATAAGGGATAGATCCGAACAAATAAACACCTACTCACTACCACACTTATTTGACACTGGATATCAGGTGACTACTACTAAAGCATTTGAAATAATTATTCATCGTATACCATTTAATTTACTACATGGATCACGCAATAGCTTGTTTCACATACCAAAGGCGATCACAATCCACCTTTGTATTCAACAGAAATTTGTCAAACCACTTTCATTAATGTGACCATCAACATGATGTCACTTTGCACGCCTCTTCTCCTTATTCTAACAATATTCATTTGCTTTCTTACTCTTACGTGATTATTTATTGAAAACAAGATATTCAGTGAAGAAGACTCTTTCCAACAAATTTGTTCTCAAGTTATACATTCGTATATATATATATATATATATATATATATATATATATATATATATATATATGATGACTTGTGTCTAATGTCACACAAACTCAAAAATATACAGCCAAAAACTAACAAGTTGACAGAAGAAGCAGCAAAGACAGAACTTTCTTCAAGTAAATGTAGAGAAGACAGACGTGATGATGATACCCAACCAACACCACCAACAACAACAACAGCAACAACAAGCTCCAATCACCATCAATGGCAGAAACTTAAACGAAGTAGCCTTCTTCCACCTATCTAGGCGAGACAGTATCGTTTCAACTACACGCGGCACACATCAGGACGTCTAAGCAGCCAGGATCGGAAAGACAACAAGACACGCCTTCAATAACCTCAAACCAGTGTAGAGATATTCTCCACTCAGCATAAATCCTCAACAACATCAGGATTTTCAACACCAATTCAGTCAAGTCAGTGCTTCTACCTCATGGTTCACACACTTGGCGGCGCGTTACCAAAATCATTTCCAACAAACCACAGACATTCATCAACAACTGCCACCTACACTGCCTCGTTACTCAAGATCACATGGCCAGAAACAATAAGCAACAAGGAACTCTGGATAGCTAACTGACAACGAACCAACCAAGAACCTATCACTCAACAAATATCCAGAAGGAAGTGATGATAGATTGTGCATACACTGAGAAGACCATTCGGAGACATCACGCACCAGGCCTTCCAGTGGAACGCAGATATGAAAAGACGAGTTTGGCGTCCGAGGCAAAAGTGACATAGAGGAGATTGTATGAGGAATAAATGAGAGGTTGTGGGTAGTCGTGGAGCCAGGTTTTAAAGAGTGCAGAGAACAGAGTGAAACAGGGAAGTGCTACTGAAGCCGTATGTTCCACTAGGAACCCAAGGGTCAAATAATATAACCATTAATTGAAATAACAATAGTGGTGGTTAATAATAATCGTGTTGCCAGTTGATGACGTAAAGGTCGAATGATAACAAAAAGGGTTGTGTAAGACTTTTAAATCGTTTATAAGGTGCACATAGATTAAAAAAGCGGTGAGAACGTGATATAGTTAATAAACAATCAAAGGTGATCGGGTAATATGAATGAGACAAGTTAATTGGAGTAAATGGAAAATGTCAAAAGTTGCGATTATTAGGAAGATCAAATGAAATAACACCGGAAACAATTGAATATAAAAAGGAAAGTGATAATGACAATATGAGAGTACAAAGATTAATCTGATAAAAAAAGGGGAGGAGGGTCTTGAAAAACGAGAAACAAACGAAGCGTACGTAGACTAAAATAAATTAAGGCCAAAGTAGAGACAAAGACTGTGCATACTTCTTATGCACACAAAGGTCAGGCTTTAGTTCATGGATAACCAAGTCCTCTGATGTTATTAGAAGCTGAACACAGAGGAAGCGTGAGGTATTTGAGCGAATTCGATAGACAACCTTAAAATCATTCATTTTTTTCGGTCGGTTGGATGGTTAGAATCGACTAAATGTTCAAGGATAGAACTTCTAATGCATTTCCTTTCACCCTTATAAAACCAAGCCGGAATATGTTCTCGTTTACGCGTTGACAGCAATCTCTGACTACCTTGTTCAACAGAAGCAGGTGAACTGGTAGATACATATGGATGTGACCTGTCGAGGTAACTTGAGAAGAAAAGCACTCCAACTACTTTGCCAGTTACTATGCAATTTGCGTGGGAGTAACCTGTTTCGCAGTATTATAATGACCATTTTTTTAATCAAGTATAGTTACTCTGTTGATTATTACTATTTGTTGATGTGCTTATAATTCTCCATTTCTTTTTTACTGGATAAAAGCGTTGGATACAAGGTTCGAATATCAACGGGAACAACACCACTCACTGGGGTGCAGGTGTATCCAGCTGACGAGTCGTAAACAGGACGAAACCAGTGTCCTGGATTCCTCTGCTAACCACAACCAAGTAAATTATTCCGTTGATTATTTTGCAACATAGTAATTTCTTAAACTTATCCTCTTGACAACTTACTTAAAATTTATAATGTTTGTTCATTAAACCCCCCACCATTTGACTGGTATTTTGATTGAAGTGTGTAAACCCCCGTATATATTATAGTATAGAGCCGTAGTGTAGAGAAATATACATTTCTCTTCAATGAATCAGTCATTTTTCTCAATGTTTTAATAAGACTGTTTCATTTAATATTAGTTCAACACAAACAATAGATGAGAAGTCATAATAGAGAGGAAAACATTATTTCTTATTTCTGTAAATTGTCTTATACAAGAATAGGGGGATAGTATAACTACACAAAGAAAACTAATTATAGAAACTGGAAAAAAGTTAAAAGCTACATTTCTACATTCCTTAAAAAGTTATAAAGGATTAGGTTGAGGTAGTCGAAAGCTTTTCAATTCAACTTCATAATCATAAAAACAATACATATCATGTTGATAGTATTCTGGTACTTTGTAGACTAGTTTATTCAAAGATTGATTTCCACTTTTTTCACATTGTACAACTGCTAAAAAGGAAATAATAATGATAAATATTAAGTATACACTAATAGTAAAACTTACATTTCTCAGTTTTAATATTCAATTTATTTGATGTTGTTTGTTTAACTGTACCATTAAAGCGTAGCGCATTCAATGTTAAATGTTCAATAGACAATAAATTCAACAATTTAACAGGTTGCATTTAATTTCTATGCACTTGAATAATATTCTATCTATTCTGAAATGAATTAAATTCTAAAAGAGAAAAAAATATGAAAAGTTATGATGAAGAAAAATACAAAGCTAATACTTTTACTTAGAGATAGGAAACAATTAAAACAATAAGAGAAAGGAAGGATATTGTTTTTTTTTAATATTTTATTATATATAACCAGTAACTGAGAAAATTACAAATAATTTGCTGTTGAAGAAGAGAAAAAAAAAGGGATAAACCCATTTATGAATAGATGAATTATCCAGAAGAAAAGCTTAAACAAACTATCATTGAGAAGATAAGCTTATTTTGAAAGTACCTTCATTTTTGAAGATAGAGTCTTGGATGATTTTATTTTTATAAAGGGAAATAAGTTTATCATCAACATGAAGTCTCTGAAAATAACAATAGCAACATTAAACATAAACTGGATCGTCTTCTTCTTCATCAAAAATCTCCGCTTTGCTGATATATATATATATATATATATATATATATATATATATATATATATATATATATATACGTGTTTATGTATAATTCATTGAAAAATAAATGACATATAGTTATCGTGCAAAACGGAAGACATAACTGCGTGCAGTATCATGAAATGCTTCAGGATCACGTAGATATTGTTCAGCAGCAACTGTATTCAGTGCATCATTAAAATCACATAAATCTGAGAATAATGATTCAATACCCCAGACAACATCAAGTAAACGTCGTGTGGTGCCCAACCAGAGAAATCTAATGAACTTTGTCGTAGTAAACTTAAACAAACACGTCCAGCTTCATCAATATTTGGATGCCAAATTTGTGTAGTACAATTAACTAATGGTGGAGTATGATTATAACCTTCTGGAACAACAATATTGAAATGATAATTTCCATCAGCCCATATTCCTTCAGTTGGTCTTACTATTAAGGTGAATTCATGAAGTTTATTTGGATCAGGATGATGAATTGTACATTGAGATGATAGATTATTTCTTAACTCTTGCAATTCTTGTAATACAAGTCGATCACGGATAGTGGCATTTCGAACAGAAGCTGATTGAAGTACATCTGGTTCAGTAGTTGTAACACCACTTTGTCTCTGACGTATTTTATCCGCTAAGCGAATCATATGGCCTTAAAGTAGAACAATGATGAAAACTATAATTAGTTTAGCAAGTAACTGACCATAAGGATAAAAGATTTGGTTATCTTTTAGTTTTGGCAAATATAATCATTAGTGTCTGTCACTATGGTAGACAATTGCCCTTAAAACTATTAAATTCTCCAGTAATCTCTAGCTAAACACTCAACTTTTTACCTTTGAAGTAAAATGTAGTGTTAGGTAAGATAGATGAGCAGTTGAAAAAAACGTTTCTGAGCTGAATTTACTCTAAAATCTTATTCATCATGGATTGATTCAGATAAATAGAACCTTGTTTTAAAGAAATGCAATTGAAATTGTACACTGAATACAATAATCTGACAAAAGTCAATCAATCCTTCTGTGTCTCTCCCAATCCAATAGGGTTGATAAGACTTACTAGCTAAGTAGAATTACCAATGTATTCAATCACCACTTATAATTGTCAGGAGGAACATTAGTTTAGTTCATTAAGCGCAACAAAGAACAAAGCTTAAACATTCATATATTGTACTCTAGGGTCATGTTAGTGTCTTTACTCAACTGTCATATACATGCTTTGAGTTGAATAAGAAATATTTAAAGACGGGGAAACCTCTACAAGAATGTCATGATAAAGTTAGACAGAATGAACTTTATAAACACTATTAAGTGTAGACAAATCACAGATAACTCAGTAGGTGTATCCTAGTATAAACGTTTAGTCGAATAGTATACTTGACATACACCTCTTTCAATAAGAGACACCACCATAAGGCCATCCGACCACCGCGTCGACTGACGGTGTGCGCATATACCAACAACCTGTAAAGAGTGATCTAGTCAATACATATATATATATATATATATATATATATATATATATATATATATATATATATATATCAAATTTTGAAATCTACATAACTTTCTCGGGTTTCTTGTCCCTCAACTGCAGTTAGGCATTGAATGGTTTTAGAACCTAGAATCTTAGACACAATGCTTCCTGATGATTTTCACAAAAGTCTTCTTCCCTTTCCTGATGACCGGGACAATCGGTGACTGAAACCAAACAAGGAGGATCATATCTTAGTCAGTCTTATCAATAAACCTGGGTCACCGATCCCAGATATATATCCGGTGAATAGGGGTCTGGATTCCAGGCTCGCTTTAAGTTACTGACCTTTTTAACTTCAAAAGTTCAGGACTTTTTTTTAGTGTTTTATTCAGAATGTGACTGAATAGCAGGCAACCAAAGAGTGGCCGATAGTTGTTTTAACTACTTTTTGAAGTGTAATGCTTATTGTTCAAGTCAATTCATATCAGTGTAAGCAGAGTTAACACCAAAATGGAACCTAACATTATTGTGTAACGATCCAAGTTGTTATACCACAGACCAACCTGAAAGGTACCGAGATGAGCAATACAGATATAAGGAAGAAATTAGTCAGAAGTAGCAGAACGAAGTAAAAAGAAAAGTAATAAGCCGATATCGAAACTTGGGATGTCAATAAAAATTGTGTGAATACATCTGCGCCACTGACCCTGATAATGAACATTACTGCCTTAATTCTCCAACCACTAATTCCACTTCACACGTGGATACCAAACGAGAAGTCTACACCACCATGCACGACACAGAATCGCAATCAAGGAGTTTGTAGACTGATGTAAGACTTTATTTAGTATGGCCATATATAACCTATATCTAGTCTAAACTCATTTAAGCTAACGTTGCACAATGGGGTGAATAGTGACTAGGCAAGCGTAAACAAATATCCATTCAAGCTACCTGAGTCGATGAAGTTTTATAATCTTATCAATTAACCTCAACTTAAAGCTGCTACCTTGACGTGCTGGTTAGGCCTGCATATCACAATGACCCAACGAGCTATGCTGGCAGGAACACTTGTTCTCTTCAGGTCCTAATACTGTACCGAAAAAAGTCTGTTGGATAGTAATAGGGTAAGAAGTAGCTACCATTATAGTGCGAATTGCTACGCTATAAGTATTCTGAAGTTGAAGTTGGACTGCTGGTTGGTTTGTAGAGTTATGGCTCATTAGCTTAGGAAGCTGACTTTAAACCAGTGGGCAGGGGGTCCGAGCCCCACTCCCCCAACAGAGGTTTGGGCAGACAAGTAGTATAACTAGCCTTCACACAACAGGTGGCTCACTGTCTACCACACGGATGTGCACAAGTTTGCTGAGTCAGTTTTTCCCTGCTAGTTGGACAAGGTCCAGCAGCGGTAAAGTGTTTCCCGCGGATGACCAGCAGCATCATGCCGATACCGTTTGTCCTGCACGAAAGGAGGGGGTTAGAAAAGGCTGGTCCCAAAAAAGACACTCCTACCTGACCTGTATTATCCCGGCCACAATGATAGAGGTTTCTCAGTTGAATTTAAAATTATTCTAAGCGATAGCTCAAACTTCCGAAGAAACTGTGTCTGACCAGCCTAAAAAAGATATTCTATAGGCTCTGCGGTCAAACACTGCAATTACTGGCCCAATTTCTTTTTCATATACCTCAAAAAAGTGACTTTTAACGGTGTGGACAGCCAGAAGTACCAACCCCTTTTACAACTCCGTCAACACCAGAGTTTCATAAGATCATTATCAACTTTAAATTTTATCTATCTCAGCAGCCATTAGCAATGATTCGAGTTCACGCCATAGTATACTTATTCTCCGGAAATCATGCTCCAAACTACACATTGAAGCTTTCAATGTTCGCAACCTCCGTCACACTGAACAAGAAGCTCCGCTAGCTTGAGCATCTCCAGTCATTACAGTGTAGTGTTCGTGAGACACATACATGAACCAATAGCGGTTATTACCTAACCAAACCCGAATAGTTTGATGAATCCGCAAAACCCACCCGTCGGGTTTCTGCAGACTGGGTGACTCGTCCTTGCGGTCTTGCATGTGAAGGTATAACACTAAGCACTGAGGCTGAAAGTCCACTGCTTCACTGGATACCAGTTGACAGTCACCTATATGCTGTTCAACTGGACGACACAGTGAGAACTGGAAAGAATACTGAAACGCGCCAGTCCCACATAATCTCTGCTTACGTATCCATTGACTGCAGTCTAGATGAAGTGAGGGATGAGTTCTGTCAAAAACTGTCTAGCCTCCTACTGCAAACCAAACGTTCAGACGTGATTGCTGTAGTAGCCAACTCTAATTCACAAGTGGGTACGGCTACGTCAGACAGGAAGGCACTCAGGTGGCACTTTCGGAAGCTTAGCTGGATGAACAAATAATGACAATCCTGCGCTACAACTGTGCCCAGACAACCCCCTATTACGGCCAGCACGAAGTTCAGGCATAAAGAGGCGCACAGTCTAGCATGATATCCACCAGCCTCAAATAAACAGTGGACATAGATCATGTTGCTATCAGTTATCACTGCAGAGGATCAGTGAAAGATTACCGCTCCTTCTAGAGTAAATGTTTGAATAGTAACCACCTGTTAGTCCAAGCAAAGATATGTTCGTGCCTTAATGCACGTAGAAAAACTACAGCAACATGACCATTCCGAGGGCAGCACGATGACGTGAATGCTAAGGTAGCTTTCAGTGAGAAATTGGCAAGATAGTTATTGAAGCAGAACAGCACTCATCCGGAAGAAGCCTGGTGCCCCATCCAGTTTGCTGTTAAAGTGTTAAATACCGTAAGAGGTTAGAAGGAGTCAACGGATATCAGCAGCAGCTTCTGAATTAATGGGTGCGCGTGAACTCATTCTTTCCGCCTCCGAGCATGATCAGGAACGGAAGCAACTCAAATAGATTGACAAGAAGTCTACGCAATGACCGTGATCATTGGTGGGTGGCGAAGGCTAAATAGATGGAGAGAGCAGTAGCGATAGGTAGTAGCAAAAAGTTATTTAGATTGATTGAGGAAACTGAGACAAAAAAGTCAATGGCTAGTGAGACCATAGAGGAGAAGGATGGGTCTGCGATTCACTTGCAGGCGAGACGAATAGAACGACGGGTGGAACACTTCGAGCAACAGATAAAGTAGCCTCCAGCAGTTAACATGATACAAGAAACGACAGCACAACTAGATGGATTAGAACTGGAAGCATTTAAGGACTGTGGTCGGGAATTATTGACCACACTAACTAGTTTTAGCGAGCGTGTGGCGATGAGATATAGTCTCTGTTGACTAGTCTCAACCACTGATTGACAATTTCCAATAAAGAGATAATCAATCCGACGAGCATAACGTCCAAGATTCTAGATCCTATATTCATTATGCGTCTGAGTTGGACTCGAGAAGACAGAAACTGAAGAAAAAATACATCTCGGAGTTGGTCCTGAGTTTATCGACCAAATGTTTACCCACCCCACCCAGTTCTGAAACATGTGCACCTACCTACACCCAACTCTGTTTCCCAACTTGAAGGTGGAATTTAATACTCTTCTTCTATCCACCTGTTCTTTGTTTACTGTTATGAAGTATGACGACTTGAGGCGATGCACTTTTATGCGAGGTTCTACGTTGGTTTTGTCAGTCAGCCAGTCAACACCGTCGACTGAAAGAACTTCTGTCGGTACCTGTTACTGAGAGTTACAACGCATGTTAATGGTTTTGTTTTTGAACAGTTGTGGGCACGTTAGAATCTATGGTGAGCTATCAGATCAGTTGTACACATCGAGTAGTGTCTGTCAAGCATATCCAAGCATATTTGACCTTGTCATAAACTTGCCTATGGATACATATATCTCTATCTCTTTTTATCTGACTACCGAGATTGACTTTTTTACAGGAGACTCCTTAGTAGGACTGGAGTACGTAGACGACATTATCCTTTTGCGTGAAGATGCTGACAAGATGCAGTTATCTGGACACCTTAAGTCTCAATTTGAGAATGTTTGGGAAGATTTTGCCATCGCACAAATGCAAGCTGTTTAACCAGGAGTGGCCTCTATTGGTGTTCTGTTCAACAATAAAGAGTGAAGTGGCTGAGGGCATTGAACACTTCACTTACCTAGGAAGTCACATCAGTCCTGGTGCATCAGCTATTGACCGACGAAATCTCTGCACAGACATAAAAGCCTCGACTGGCTTCTGCAAACTTTTGCCATTGCGATATCCAACTGCCTACTAAGAGTTGAGAGTACTGTGCTGCAGTTCCCTCTGTTATACTGTATGGCTGTGAAACGTGGGCATTAAATGTATAAAATATGAGAGGGCTTCAGATTTTCGATGACCATTGCCTTCGTAGCATAGGCCGTGTCGTAGTGCCACCATGTGAGTAACGCAGATGTTAGATGTAGTTTTAGGGAGCAGAGAAAGGTCAGTTGATCAGGGTGTGAACCCTAATCGACTGAGATAGTTGAGACATGTGATAAACATGCCTAGTTACCGTTTGCCTTGTTGTGCAATGTTGGCTGAAGTAGGTTCAGGCTGGGGGCGGACAGACTAAAGACGTGGCACGAGTCCATGAAGTCTCTGACTGTTGGTCTGAGCCATGTTGGGAGGTGCAGACTAGCTGGTCAAGGTCCACATGACAACAGAAACCAGCGGTTGAAAACTCTATATGGTATGGCTCAGAATCGACATCAGTGGGGGAGATGTATCCATACATTATCTCAATCATAATGGCTACACTGAATTCAGCCTTTTCTCACTCCTCCTTCTCTTTTACTGCTTTCTATTGATTCTTTTTCATTACTTCATCTCTCATCTTATTGCTTTGTTACTTCATGTGTCGATATGACATGTGGCAATTTCGACCATTGCGCAATGATGCCTGGTCCTAGGTTGATACTGATGATGATGAATGGCGCATATATACTCAAACATCGTCTTAATAGTCATACCGAAATTTATTATCAACTCTTTTCCCCTTTCTATGACTTTGACTACATTCTCCTTTATCTTTTTATCTTCCATGTTAATGCATTTTCGCTTGATTTGCTGTTTAAAAAAGTGGACTGTTAAACAGTAACGTCGGGCAGTAGGTTGATTTGACTAACTGGTTCTTAAGTCATACGTATTAAATGGCGATTACTTACATGACTCAGGTGTCTGAATCTTGACAGGTTCATTGGCTTCTCATAGGTGGCGACGAACACATGTCACATAAAGTCATTTTTGTCCGTAGTGCTTTCAGAGTGCCCCCTTCAAGTAGTGGGATAACTGATTTCCTGAGGCTGTCTCGAGGAAAGGAAACTAGTTTAGATGAATGTTTGTCTGTACTCTAGATATTCTGCAATGACTCCAAGTATCAACCTATTAGGTTTGCTACTTTTTAAAAGTCGTGATAAGTTAGTTATAAAGCCTACGCAGACCTTTGGATAAACTGACATTTAGAGATATACAAATGAATGGCTCAGAAAATTAATAAAGGTTGTTATTTGAAGCATAGTGGGGACGAGAAATACCACAAGGCCGCTCAGAAACGAATGGAAAAAGGAGCTGGAACTTGTGAGTTGCAGGTTGGAAACTGAAGTGGAAATACAGAACTGTACATCCAGTGAAACAGCCAACCAAGAGCAAGTTGGTTTCTCACTAGTCCTTTGGTGTATATAGGCTGTAAAAAACTTTATTGTCTTTATTATAAGCATATTACTGCAGAATTTGCCCGTTTGGATTTTCGATAGTAGGGCATATGCATTCTTTTACGGCTTGACAAATACGGCTACAAATACTCATTGTGGTTTACCAGTCAAATTTTAAAAATACTGAAACTAAGAGTGTGTCACCACTCTGGAAATAAGACTCAATCGGCAAGTCGCACCAGGAAAATACTAGTCTACTTTCTGTAATGAACCGTAAACAGTTACTTGCCAAAAATGCCGAATCCTAAAGTTACCGAGGTATGTGAGAGCTGCACGTGAGGGAGTTTCGACTCAATGTTTGCATTCATGATAACACCTACATTATATATCATCCAAATAATATGTTTATACGATAGTCAACATGTACTAAGTGTGTAATTATAATTGTAACTCAGTTAAAACTAAAAATTTCCGTGTACAAGCGATAATTCTGTAAATAAGCTATGGCATCTTATACTAATTTAAGTACTTATACTTACGAAAATATTTGAGCCACATAGAACCTGTCAGAATTTTGTTTTACCTGGGTATCAACTTGAACTCAGGGCCCATCCAATATGATAACGACGACTGCGAAGGGATTAACTGGGAAGTGTAGATATGGAATTTTCGAAGTAGTCTTGATATTTAAGAGTTTAGTTATAACCGTCATGGAAGGGTCAAAAGCCTATAGCAACGCATCATGAATGTACTCAAAAGATGCACCAAACCAATAGTTTTTATTAGTTAAATTATCACATTAAAGATGTGCATCTATATCTAGAAAGATCAAAGACTGCAATAAGTCTGTGAACTTAGTTCAAACAATCGTTGACGGAATAGAAGCTTGCGCTTCACTGGCTTCTACGTCTAGATTCCGTGGACCACTACTTTTTGTGGTTGCTAACCTGCGTACAAGTAAAGACAGGGCAAAAGTGGTGGTTAAAATGTGAAAATTCAATTAGTCCTGGGCTCATATCAGTCACACCTCAAATAAGTATCCAGCTAGCAGGAGTTTTTCATTTCTTACACAAAACCAAATGACTTGAAATTATTTAGACGGTTAAAACCTGTATCTGTAAGAATGCATGGTAAACTTTGAAAGTAAACTTATGTTTGAAGAACAAAGACATATATCCAGTACACCAGCAACGACTAAAATACCATATTAGTTTCCCTTATTTTTTCTGCAAAAGCAGTTTTTCGTGAAAATGAAAATTCCTAACTGAACATTTCACTAGTCTTCGGGCGGTCTTCACACTAACCAAACCAAGAAAATACCTACGACCTCTACATACCCAACCGCCGACGATCAGCTGCTGATCGGTGCTAGAACATTTAAACTAGTAAAAGCCAGTAATATTCAATGCTCAAGAAGTATCATTTAGAGTGCTTTATGTTCTCTTAGAGAGTGCAACAGTTCAAAACACTCCGGAATATTGATCTTTAACCTTCTAATATTGATTTCTATCTCAGTATATGTACAAAACCCTATGAATAAATACAACTTAATCCGGCTACATTAGATCTCCATGAGTATATGGCTGGATTTCTGTTTTCTTTTCACGAAACTTTCAGAACAGCTGAGAAGAAATATAGATTTGGTGAGGCGTTGCGGCCGGCTTTCTTAAAAACCGCCCCCAAACGGTATGCTTATAGTACTGTCAGTCCCACTGGTTCTAGCACATACATCTGCTTCTTCTTGAAGACGTCTGGCGGTGTGACCATAACTAAGTCATCAGGAAGGAGTTTTATGGGTAACATATTCTGAATGCAAAATGGGTATTCTGAGGATTTTTGAGGCTACTCTTCATTTAAACAGAACACTATCTTCATAAAGTAGATATCAAGCCGAATTTTAGAAGTGGTCTATGAGTAAGATTGTGAGAGGTATGAAGCACCAAATCCTTTTTCTCCAATGCTTCTTCATCATGTTGTTTGCAGATATAAAGCGTCGATGGTGGATTAAGCATTGTCTGTGGTTTAATAAAAATACTTCCTTAGTTGTGCTTCTATAGACTTGTTCCAAAAGAGCTATGGTGGTATTACAGTTGGGTCTTTTTGCATGTGGTCAGAAATGCATGCTGTAAATTTCTTTGATCACTTATTAAGGCAGCTGTAATAAATTTCCTGGTAGAAACCTGAGGATCCCACAAACCCTAACCTCAGAAGATCAGTAGTGTTCAGAGGAACCACGGACTTCAATGAGGAAAGCTCGTAGGCCACTCTCGGTAAAACTTGATGCCGAAGTTCCAGATGTAGGGCGAAGAGGGCTCCCAGCGTACTTAGTTGCCAGCAGCATTTCACGCTTGATCAGGTTATTCATAGGCACATTAAAAGGCTTCCAGGTCTTTTTAGAGGACACCAGCATACCATTATTATCTGTTATTCTTCCCATGGATTCCTAGTGGAACGTAGGTCTTCAGCAACACGCCTCCATCGCACTCTATTCGCTGCACCCTTTTGAACCTGCCGCCATGACTGCCCACAAGCTTTCATTTCTCCCTCACACCATCTTTTCCATGTCACCCTCAGCTCACATGTCCAACTCGTCTTTTCATATCTGCGTTCCACTGGAGGGCCTGGCGCGTGATGTCCCCAGATGGTCTTCTCAGTGCCCGCCCAATCTATCTCCACTTTCTTTGACGCATTCGTTTGGTGGTAAGTTCCTGGTTGGTTGGTTACCAGAGCGAAACGCCTTGTCGTTTATTCTTTCTGGCCATCTGTTCTTTGACATCGAGCCAGCGTAGGTAGTTGTTGATGAGTGTCTGCAGTTTGTTGGAAATGCTTTTCGTGACACGTCAAGTTCACGAAACATATGGCAGCACTGACTTGACTGAATTGGTGTTGAAAATCCGCATCTTGTTCTTTGTGCTGAGTGCAGTAGACCTCCAAGCTGATTTCAGATTAGTGAAAGCCTGTCTTGCTTTTCCGATCCTGGTTCTGACATCCTCATCTGTCCCGCCTGTAGTTGAAACGATGCTGCATTGCCTGGGTACGCCGGAGACCACCTCCTTTAAGTTTCTCGCATTCACAGCGACTGGTGCTTGTTGTTGGTGGCATTGGTTGGGTATCATCATCCCCTCCGTCTTTCACCTGAAGTCCCGTTTTCGCTGCGTCTTCTGCCTTCACTTGTAGATCCTGGATTTTGTGCAACATTGGACACAAATCATCATCGGCGAAACCCAAATCTTCCAGGGTCTTTTTGTCGGTCCAGCCAGCGTATGCCCACATTTTCGCTCCCCCGCAGCCGCTGTTTGCATGATCCAGTCCGCCACAGTCAGGAAGATCATCGCTGATAGTAGGCGGAAGTCTTGTCTTGCCCCTGTCTTCACTTCAAGTTCATCATCACTAAGCTTTCCATTGTGAACCATTCGGCATGTGGAGTCGTCATATAGTTGTTGAATGAGGTCAATAAGGATTTGTGCCACTCTATAGTGTTGAAGTAGTCGCCAAACTAGGTCCCAATCGATGCCGTCGTAGACCTTTTCAAGATTGATGAAGTTGAGGTAGAGAGTTGACTCCCATTCTATGCTCTGTTCCATGATGATGCGCACCTTAGCGCCGCAATTCGGCCCGCATACGATTTGCTCTTTCTGAAACTAGTCAGCCTGTTTCGGCAGTAATTCTGAATCCAGAGCATCTTATAGTTTCTCCAGGATGATGCGGCTTGATATTTTGCTTGGTGTGGACAGGAGCATGATTCCTTGCCAGTTCTTGCAGAGACTTAGGTGGCCTTTCTTTGGGAGTTTGACAAGGTAACCCTCCTTCCAATCAGTGGATACCTTTCCTTCCTTCCAAACCCTCTGCAGTGGTGGTGCGAGCATATCCTCTGTTGTCTCTGTGTCTGTTTTCAATGCTCCTGGATGAGTTCCATCTGGTCTTGCTTCCTTCTCGAATTTCAGCGGTTTATGGCATCTAGAGCCTCTGCTTTTATCGAAGGGCCTGTGTTCACAGACAATTCTGTGGCTGTGCTGCTGGCGGTATTTCTGGACTAGTTGCAAGTGGTGGCGGTGGCCGATTCAAGACTTTTTTGAAGCGGTCATTCCGCTGTCTCCCTTGTTTCTCCTCTTTGGTAACTAAGTCTCTTCCACTATCTCTCACTGGTTTCGTCCGCGTTTATCTCTTACCAGAGAGCGACCAGGTTATTCGATATAGTGTTATCAGGTCTTTGCCACCTGCAGCCTGTTCTGCCTCGCTCGCCAAAATGTCGTAGAAGTGTCTTTTGTCCTTCCATGCTCTCTTCTTCTCCTCTTCGTCCAATGTTTTATGGGTATTGTTCAGTTCTTCCCCCCTCTTTGTTCGTTCTTGCACTGCCTCATCTTCAGCTTCACTGCCTTCATCTCCTTTATCAGTTTCCATGTGTCCGTCTAGATCCATTACTTATTTTCTTTCTTCCCCCTTCCTAATACGGTTATGCAGGCTTCTTTCCACACAGCTTTCGGAGTTGCAGTGTTCGTCCATGGAGGTTTCCTCAGGGATGTTGATCAGTGTCTCCCATTTTGTCCTGATGGCTGACATGAAGATGCTCTCTGAAGTTTCATCATTCAGTTTGTGTTTTGGGTGTTGAACTTGAACTGCAGTCTATCACCAACTTCCTTGAAGGCTTTCAACTTGATTTGGAAGGTTCCTTGAACTAGATAGTGGTGTGAGTGGTGTGAACCTACATCTGATCCCCTCCTTGTGTCCAGTGGCTTCGTCTCCACTTCCTTGTGATTGAGATGAAGTCGACGTGATTTTTAGTGTGGTGTGTTCTAGTGTCTGGTAAAATCAAATCCATGTCGCTTTGTGAATATCCTCATGTTTGTACACAGTGCCTCGAATCACCAAATCGTTGAGTGCGCAGAATTCTGGAGGGAGTTTTCCATTCTCGTTCATTTCACCGAGTGCTTCTTGACCCATGATGAGTTCCCTACGTGTGTTGTTCACTCCGAGTTTGGGGACCCATATCTGCTTTCGCAGGTTCCTGGCCCGGGGCTTCTGTGCTATACCTCCTCATCTCTTTGGCAATCTGGGCAGCCTTATCAGCCATCCAACTTCAAACATTGCGCGGACATCCCATGTCCCCATGTTTACTACTGCTGTCATCGAGGGAAGGCACATCGGCCAACCGGCTTCGCGAAGGCTTTAACCGGCCGGCGTCGTTTCGTCCCTCCGATCCAAGCGATGAATAAGTTTGTTTTTATTTTTTATATCTTCTTTGTGCTTTGAGGCTTCTCTAGCGATTGGATTTGTTTTGCGGGGTAGGGCTGCTAGCCGTACGCCCAGTTTTCCCTCTTTATCTGGGCGTAGGACCGGATAGTAACTGGTGAACCAATTGATCAGGCGAGACTGTCAATGCCTTTCCCGATCTTCACTTCTCTAGCGTACATTGGCGAGTGAGGCATTCCACTTCTTTCAGAAGCAATGAAACTATGCTGCCGTGAAAATTACCGTCCAATAAGTAAGAATTACCGCTGCCATTTTTACTCATTTGACCCTCTCACCAGATGGACATATATCAATCCTCGAACTACTCAAATTTCTAAACGGTCGTAAAGGCATCGAAAATCTGGACAGACAGTGAAATCCGGTAGATCAACTCGCCTGTTAACTTTAAAGTGAACATATTCACAATAATGCTGTGGAACGGATTTCTCTAGTACTTCGTCTAACAGTGAATATACCTCCTTGACAATGCTGCGTACCTTAACGTGAACAGTGTGGAAAACTGGGTGCCATTGGTCCACGGATTTTTTTCAAACGTTCATTCCTTCGCACCACGACGTCCAATTCTGATGGCATAAATCTATATTGCTGTGAATGATAACACCTGAATAGGTATCCACCTGTGTAAGAGTAAAGCTTGTGCACTGCAGAAGAATGTAATTTCAGTTTCATTGATTCATTATATTTATCACACAGTGTAACAGTGTCGTTTCATGGATTAAGTTTCGGACATAATTTATTGTCCGTAGTCATATCAGATGATATGATTATGACCGAAACATAATTCAGTAAACAACACCGTTACACTGTGTGATAAATATAACAGATCGATCAAAATGGAGATATTCACTTTGATTACATGATTATGTGAAAACGCACGGATTCTCGACGTTGTCAGTGTGGGTTGTTTTGGTCTCCGAAGCTATAAGCATAAGAATTTACGGTAAAATAGGCGTTTATGTAACGTAACGGGGCCTCACGAGGACGAACCAGACAAATCGACTGCTTGTAACGGAAATTTGGAATTTCGCGAGACCTTGGTGCCACTAATGGTGAAAAAAGAAAGTATGACTGAAAACGATCCGAACTTTAACATTCTGTATACGCTGAAAAGTGGTATTTTCTTGTTCGTTTGTGACTTTTGTAATCTCCTGATATTTTTAATCTAATTTAATGACTTCCGTCCCGTTCCACTCAGATCCCGTAAAATCTTGTAGATTTTCCAACATATATGAATGTGATGATGCCTGTAAACTGGCTTCTCTGATGTTAAGTTACTAATGTGAGAATAAAATATTTATTTATTTATTTATAAAATGGCCCTGTGGGTTACGAGAAAAACTGTCGATAGCAGACAACATAATATGATGTTTTGGAAGTTCAGAACCAGTCATGGTCAACATTTGCCATTCGATAGCCTATTTTGTGAATGGCCTGTAGGCGCTGTAACAAAAGCGCATCGTGCCTACATGTTGATGCTTCCAGAGTATTATATTACGGTTTATCTCGTCAAAGGCTTTGAAAAAACCAGGGAATTCAGACTTTTTGGTGGGCTGCACCACAGTATTCCACTTGGCGTTCATTGAGTGTTATTTGGTCTGTTTTTCTACCAGTGGTGTAAACCGCCCAACACTTATCTCCACAATAGCTAAGTTCAGAATCACTCGTTTATTGCTGTCGTTACCTCAACAACAGATGAGATTTGATGTACCAGTCTGTGCTTTACGAAGGTATGTCTTGATAGGAAGCAATCTAACTGGAGATCAACATTTCAAATTATCAGTCGCTGAGGTAGATGTTTTGGGTTTCAACTTTCGTTTGATGTGACTGTGTGGTCAGGAAAAACCTGAGTTAGGCTGATCAAAACAGATGCAAAACCGTGAACTTGGCGGTTTCATATTTTCAAGAAAACCGCATGTAAATGATGTATTTTCTTCGAAAGGAGTGTCTACCTTACGGCCACAGGCTGGTTTGCGTCTTCTGACATTCGCGGTCCAGTTAGGTGAAACACCGGCCATTCCTATACATTCCAAGTGTCTCGTCGCGTCAATATGACTCGCAGAGTTATTGTCATCATTCACCCGGCCACTTCACCCCCCGTTAGCATCGTTTAGCAGCGGTGCGACCACTTCTACCTTCTAGTCTGACGGTTATCTCGTCGGATGGTCGCGGAAGGTCCCCAGCGACACCACATCATAAAGAACAACTTGTGCTTCATGCCTCATTGGGTATACGCCCCAATACTTTCCATTTCAACGTCCCGAAACTTCAGCACTGGCAAGTTCAGTGGTCCACGTGAGCTATATTCCCTCACATTATCGATGCCACTGCATATAATTTCCGGACCATCATGTATTCTATTAGATACGCTCTTTAGACAGTTGAAGCCACCGGAGCATTAAAAGGACGTTGTTCGTGTCCTGCCTACGAAACCGGGCTTACGCACTGAGTCCAGAACTATCTTCCGATTAGTCTGGCCAGCATAGCCCTTGGAGCAACTGAAAAGATAATCTGTGGCACAGTTCTAAAGCAGCGAGGGAAGCAGAATTCCAACCAATGAGTCGCATGTTTTTAGGACTGCCTACTTTTGCCTGGTCAACTTCCTCGTTGCGACAGAAGACTAGGCTGCATCCATCAATGCAGATTTTACTGTGGGCTTTGTATTTGTGGACGTCGGTAAGGCTTTTAACAAGGCCCCTCACTAAGGACTTCTGGAAAACTGGGGGATTTCAACATGGATGTGGTAGCTGGAAACCGCGTTTACAACCTTCTTATTTGCAGGAACCAGCCAGTCATGGCAGCGGGGGACAGTAATTGTGGAAACCAGTGAAAGAGGCTCACGAAAAGGTACAATTACCGCTTCTCTTCTGTTCCTAGACTACGCCAACAAGCTGCCGGTAAATGCCAGGTCACTCTGCTGCATGTTTGCAAATGATGTCACGGTCTGGAAAGGCATTTATCGTGACAAGGATAAGTCGTTCCGACAAGAAAACCTTTACGCTTCAGCTGGATGATCTAGTGGGTGTTCGCTGAAGGTTAACGCCCATAAGAATACAGTCATGCGTACCGACCGCGACCAACCACGTGACTGTATGGCTACTAACTGATACACGACTACTTAGTCCTTTAAGATTTGAGAGTGACTGCAAGCCATAACGTTGCAGCCGTTGTAAACTTTAGTGCATCAGTGCTAAATGCTTTGCGAGTCAGACGATCCACAACTAAGGATTTTGAGGGCCTGGATAAGGACTAGTCTCAGGTGTTATGTGCAAACCAATAGATTAGATCTCAGCTTGAACTTGTTGTCAAGTCGGCGGCGGTATATCTTAAGTGTTGACAATGCACGTTAGAACAAGTTCGGTGGGTGGCTACTGAGGTGATCATCGGCTTCTCTAAACCTGCATACGTAGAGCCAATTTGCGTTCACCGTCTCACAGTAGATTGTCTAGAGGCACAGCGCTAACCCACCGCATCCTAATAAATAGCTTGTCTGTCCACTTGTCTGCTGCTTCCTATCGGGGCCAGTCATCTGACAGAACATCACTAAAGGTCCGAACACTTCAGTCGAAACGTTCACGTTTGGAAATCTGTTTCTGGCATCGAGATGTGAATGAGTAGAATTCTTCCCTGGAGCACTTTTTCTTGCCTTCGAGGATTCCTTCAAAGATAGATTGTATCTCTCAAATGCCCGACGTTGCAGGTTACTTGAGATGGCATCTTTGCGTCCGTTAACTGAAAGTAAGACACAAGTTAAAAACTTTGTTCAACCTCTTTTAGTTCATGAGGGTTATACGAATATTAACACTACAGGGTTTGCTTGGTCAACGTCGGTTCAGGTTTGATATTCTCCTGAGGTCAGTGGGACGAGTTGAACTCAAGACTTGCCATAACATGTAACGTACTACTCTAATGGATTCCGTCGAATATTCAGTTTGATTTTTGCAGCACCTGATGACCTATGAATCGTTCCATCACAGAATCACTACACTCACCTGATACATGATACTACAGCACTTCGCCCTATCCGTGTTTGCCACCAGTCATTTCCCGAGCCCTGGAACCAGAGATCGCTTGAAGCACGAAATCCCCCAGGAAAGCTCTCACTAGTTCCGTGGAGTATATTGTTACCACCTAAAGAGATTCAGTCATCCCTCAAGAACATCCGGTTCTGATTCAACGGGCAGCTACTTCACTAAACTGGTGGAGTCGAAATAGAAAGCTCTGTGCCCCCTTTACGCTCATTCATTTTTGTCGAGTCTGGAAAGTAGCGGCCTGAAGTTATTTATAGATCAGCCTGGCGGTACCAGCGTTACATGGCTGATGTGTTCATTATATGTAAGTGCGAAATGGAGGCGGCGGCACTACCAAAGTGCTTAAATTCATTTCAGCCGAACCTGACATTCACAAATGAGCTGGGCGAGAGTAACATGGTTAGTTTCTTGGATGTCCCATCAGTCAAAAAAACCGATGGATCTACCCAGAGATCTATCTGTAGAAAACCTTCATGGACAGGACAGTACCTTTATTTCAGAGGCTTTGTCTGAACCGAAAAGCAAATTAACAAGATGCTTGGACTGCCGCACAGGAGTGTGGTTAGGTATGGATATGAAAAGCCTGTTGTAGGTGATACCGTAGTGCCCAGGGAAGAATTTGTACTTGGACTATCTACTGCATCTGTCTGTCCCTAATATGTGTTGGATTTCTAAGGCCACAGAGTAGTGCATATTTCCGGAAGGATGGGGAGGAACGGCGCAACAGACCATGGAAAATTTCGCATAAGAGAACCAAATTGTTTCTTAGACGATTCCGTAAAGGTTCGATAGGTAGCGCAATGCACCATCTATGCTATCTATGTCTACACTCCAACATGCTCAGTGAAGTTGAGATTACCAGGACAATGGGGGAACAGATCGCCTACCTTACTGAGCGCTTGAATTCCGTAGTCCTCCAAGCGCAGCCCGATGCTAGGAAAATGTTTTCCAAAGTAGAAAATCCCAAATTTTTTATGACCGAGCACAAAGTACCATTTCCCAATCCACTCAAGTAGGTTATATGAATCGGCTTGAGATGCTAGCAGACCCTCCAAAATCATGTCATGCTGGAGGTTGTAGGCAGCCTTAAAGACGTATGTGTAAGGATGTGCTTTTCACTTTCTGATCCCCTTATAAATATATCATTGACACATGAGAAAGTGTGGTGGACCAAGTACACTTCCACGTACCACACCACTTGTAATTGTTTTAGGGTTCGATGAGAGATCGTTTAATTTGCCTGCCTGATAACGTTCATGAGGGAATGAGTCGAACCAGTTATACAAGGAGTTTGCCACACTGAGTGATCTATGCTTCATAAACAGATCCTTATGGGGCACTTTGTCAAATGTCTTCCTGCAGCCGTGAGAACAGCACAGCAACAAGAGGCGATTGACGACCCTTCTGAGCGATATGTCTAAGATAATGCAGCAAGCATATGTCAGAGGATCTGGTTTCGGGTGGCTAGTTCACAACCCCATTCTTTATAGCTTTCCTCGTCTCCCTGGAAACTACTGATGTGAGATTAACTGGAAGGTAATCACCAAAATGTGCGTCTGGTCCGCATTTAAGAATGGGAAGAAGACAGTTAGCTTTCAAGATGGACTGGAAGCATGCACCGTTGATCGGCAAGGGGAGCAGCTTCATAGGTATGAGAGGCATGTCTCCACTAGCATTTTCAAGGACAACAGCGGGTATTTTATCTGGACCGCCTACATAGTAAACTTTTGGGGCATTGTTGTCGCAGAGATATCCTGAGATGTAAAACTCACATTTTCGGTCCTGGATGAAGGTACTGCCAACCACTCTAACCCAAATGCATCGCTTTCACCTGTTACTAGGGCAGCAAAGTGGTTACCGAAGACCTCCACAACTCCTCTGTGGTCATCGTGTGATTGACCACTACCACTAAAACACTTTATTGTTTTGGATTCAGATGACTTCATCCCGGATTTGATAACCTCTGTACGAGATTCTTTATTGCTAGGGAATGGGTCTTTTCGTCCCTGTGCGATGGCTCCTTGTGCATGCAGAGAACCAGAATATGCACAAGTGTTGGACATTGTAACAGGTGAAGAAAAGTCATCTTGCCTGTGAAAGCAGGTGGCATGTTTCCGAATGAACAACCTGGTGTTTTTCTTCGGCGCAAAAGGCGGTTATTAAACCCAGGCTACTTGGTTCTGAATATGGTCCAGATTATAGACCCCAACGTGCGTCCTTCAATCTACAGCCACTTTGGATGAGACGTTTCAGGGCAAACCTTATATTCTTCCCCAAGATTTTACATGAAATATTCCTCACAGCTAGTGAGGATATCCGATCCATACCGGAAGGTTGCTACAGTCCACGCAATCAAGCCTACAGTGTTGAAACGTAAGCCTTTAGGAACACTCCTCTGGGTTAACGTTTTCTTGATTGAATCATCTACCCGTTGGCATCAGAGCTTTAAGCTCAACTACCCAGTTCAGTCATGTGCTAGAAAGACTCTTATCCTCCTGCGAACTCCAGAACAAACTGAGCGAATTACAACTGTGCCCCCACAACGCTCAGTATAATAGACGCCTTAAATGTATGAGATGTCACACCCTGAAGGGCAAATCCACCTACTCTTCACATTATACACCCTTAGACTAGGTTACCAGAGTTACGGTGGCTTCGGCAATCAAGTGGCTCAGCCATATCTCCTGTTTAATACCATCATTAATGAAGACATCCTAAGATATCCTCCCTCAGAAAAGCATTATGAAAGTGCAATGAAATCCGATGATTTTAGTCGGAATCTACACATGAAACCCAATGCCGTGCATATAGTAGTAGGCATAACACACCATGTACATAAGTTAAAATACACACATGAATAACTTATTTATACCTTAGTTCACCACTCTCTGCTTTCCCTATTCTCATTGTAAATGGAACCTAGGAAACCTGAAATTAGATTGGAATTACAATATTGCATTGGTACTATTTTGAGATAGCACTGCGTCCGTCTTCAAGAACCTCCTCCGTAATCGTGCCACCCGCGATGAGCGTCTACACTGCATCACATGAAGATCCTTCCCTGAAGCCCCTTTTCATTTATCCATTCAGTGTTACTAAGAGTCTTGTATTTATCGTGGTGTTTTATTTTGAATAGTTAGCTAGTGCCATCTCGTCCACCATAGCTGCAAACAGCATACGAAATGCAGAGAAATACCCACAACTTTATCTTCAGGTGCGAAATCTCAAAGTTCAGTGGAGTTCGACCACTATTTACCGAGATACTAGGCGCGACCGAAGACGCTGGTGGCTGTGGTGGACATATGTTCAACTCCGCATGGACAAACAAAAATATGTCGTTTCATCACGTAGGTAGTGTGTTGTTATTAATACCATTAACTGTCGTCTATAAGGCGTATCCTGACGTTCCAATGAACTTAGGGATGCGGATCCTTTGAATGATACGTTGCGTCTGCCATGGCACTTCGCTCAGTGAACACGATCCTTCGAATAAAACCTCTTGGGTAATTTGACCAGTATTACTCTTTTTGAGAACGAACCTGTTAAATTACTTTCCTTTCTTGAATGACGCTTTAACACATTCATTAAACGTGGCTTTAATTTATGCCAGATAACCTAAATGTGTGACGTAAATTCAACACTAAACGTAACTTACGCCTTTCGTATGTGATGTAAAATCTTCTTTCAGAGTGGGGATTTGCACTACCTGGGAGGAAAAAGAGATGGCACAAACATTGCCAAAGATTTTTCACTACTGCATGTAATAACCATCTCTGTAAAAATTATATGCACCTGTAAATTCAGGAATAAAGTATTGTTATCATTTAGAGGCCTAGAAATGCCACGAATAAAAATGATCGCTTGAGGAAAGGTTATCCTTCTTCTGTGCTCAAGTTGATGTACATTATTCAGGTCTAGGATCATGACTGCTGGTCCCGATACTTATCGGTCTAAAACAGCCCAATAAGGTCGGGCGCAAACGGTGTGCCTTACTGCCAGTGGACACTTGCATAAACGCTAGTAATTTCTGGACGACTGGGCTATAACACGGATGTCCGCACTGACGTGTAGACCCCATTCCACCGACTCGCCTCTCAAACTTCCCAATCTGCTACTGGGTTGCTGTTGCTCGCCTTAACATCAGATGAGATAAGAGATCTTAATTTCAAGCTTGGTTCCATCCCAGCATTGCTTAAGTCCTGCATCTGATGTGAGCTGACCAGAAGCGAGTTACTACTTGGATGCGGAGCCTTTATTACATCCCAAAATTTCTGAGTCGGACATCATCTTCACTACTTGGATTCAGAAGGCACATTAAGGGTGTGCCCAAGGATCCTCTAGAAATATGCTAATAATTGCTTCCTAGGTGGCTCCGTCTAGGAATCTGCGCTTTTGCCTTAAAAACATATACTTTCAGTATCCTCAGAACCCAACACAGATGATAACTTGGTCATAAGTTAAACCTCCTCGCATCAAATTACTTTCCGGACATCAACTAATTTCAGAGCCTTAGGTGACAATCTAGTCACCACTACACTTATACTGTTCCAGCCATAGACATAACGCCCTTCAGTTAACTAGCTGAAAAGTTTGTTGTTTGATTTGATTCCTGTAGATAGAATTTCGGTCCTACTTTGTCGGGGACCTTCTTATCTGTTCTCAGGCATTTCCGGCTATACGTGGTTCAACGTATTGAAGACGTTGCGCCGATATCTCTCCGAACCTATTGGGGGTGGTTGGCTGGCAGAGGCGTGGCATGAAATTCTATCCTTGCCTAAGCCTTCTGGACACAGCTGCAACCACAGAGTTTTGGACGGCAACGCATGGTGCAGCTCTTGGTCCTCTTTTTGACACCAAGCTAGTTCAACGTGATCAACACCTTTGATGCTGTTTATCGAGGCTATTAGAGATGGTGCGTCGGCTACAGAGTTACCTGCTCCAGAAATATGTTAGATACCTGACGTGAACTG